TAGTATATATATATATATATATATATATATATATATATAATATAGAGCCTATTAGTTTGCAAGGATCAAATATTCTTTGCTGCAAAGACTACCTCTCAATTTTAACAAGTTCAAAACTTAAGAATAACCACCGTCCCCATGTTAAAATCTTGAATTGCTACATTCAGTCAAATTCGCAGATTTCGCACGTGCTGGAGATGTAAGCGCTCTTCAACTACTATTGGTCCAGTTACTTTAGTTCCAATCTTATTGTTTTGCAACAAGATATCCCATCCATGGTCATTGCCTCAGCCAAGTTATACCCAATAGGCCTGGGTGAAGACAAACCAATTTCAGCCTTCTTTAAGAAATGTGTGCTAACTTCTTTAATACTATTCAAACGGATCCTACTTAGAAGCTGGAATGGCTGAGTTCAGAAGCAAACTTACCTGTGTACACTGTTACTGAGGAGTAATGATCCCTCATCTAGGCAACCTAGATGATGTATAGTAGTCTAAGCTCTGTCTACATAGAAGCTCAGATCACATGATCCTGGAGGGCCTTTTGTAACAGCTCTACCCCTCTTTTCCCAGAGCCTAATTAGTGTGGTCTTGGACACTAATTGTGATCCTGAAAAACTGATGTGGATCTGGAACTGAAAATTAGTGCCCCAGGGAGAAGTGCCAAATACAGTTGAGTTAGGAGCTACATTTATTTCCTGATTAGTTATGTTCTTTGTAATCCGTTACTGAATGCTTGCTGGGCGCTGTGAATGGGAGATGGGCCAAAGTCTGCAGAAGGCTGTTAAAGATAGCAATGAGCTCAGAGTGCAAATTGCTGAAGAAATGAAACTAAACATAGGTAGCCCATATGTAGCTATAATCAGTTATGCTGCCATATGGGTATTGGAGTTCAAAAGGGCTTCATTGAATAAAGTAGGGACAGATTTGAGAGCAAAGTTCCCCTTGTTCCCCTATAACCTGTGTATGTATATAGTACTTAGCATGTTCAAGTTAAAAGCATTGTTCAGCACTAAACATTAGCAAGGTGCTTGTGTAGACAAACTATTAGTTTGCAGCAAGCTATAGTGTGAAACTACCTTAGACTAGCCTACTGTGCACCAACTGTCCACGTACATACTACCTGCTACCAGCACACTGTAAGTTCTCTAGTGCACTTTCACCTACTCCAAATTCACTGGGGAATTTTTAGCACGTAGTAGCAGGGTCCACAAAGACAGTTAGTGCAAGGTAGATTTACACCCCAGCTTGCCACACACTAGCCGTTCATCTATACAAGTCCTAAATAATCCTATTGTCCCACCTGTAAGATGCATTAGTAAGTAATATCCCTATTTGCCATATCAGGAAACAGGCACAGCAAGGTTAAGGCAAACATTTTAAAAAATTGCTTCTGATTCTAGGATTTTCTGTTTTGGGGTGTCCAGCTTGAGACATGTAGGGCCTGATTTTCAGAAGTGCTGAACACCCAGACAAAGTTGATGGGAGTTGTAGGTGCTCATCACCTCTGAAAATCAGACTCTGGATGCCCAGATATTGAGGCACCTAAAATTAGCAGCTGCTTTTGAAAATGTTGATCTAAGTGACATACCCATGGACACAACAATCAAGATTAGGATTCAGGAGTTCAACTCCTAGTCGCATGATCAGTTTGCGAGACAATGTCACCTCTCCTAAACCAAAAAAAAAAAAAAAAATACCTTGTACAGTCCCACTGCTTTGACTACAGTTTCACTCTAACCCTCTTTCTGTACTCGCTTTCTTTCTTCCTCTGGCTAAACTTCTAACTTCTCCCATTCAAAGCATTCTACAGCTCTGTCCCACGTAAATCTGTCCTGCTTTTTTCCCAACACACTCCCGTCTGTTGTCTTTTCTCCTGCCCTCTCCTGGTAGATCCTTTTGACTACCCTAAGCCAATGGACCAAATGACTTTAATGCAGGGGGTGCAGTTTTAAGTAATTGATTTAAACGAGGTTGAGGCTTAGTAAAACTTGTTTGAAAATTTGTGCTATTATAACTTTAGATTACATTTTATAATGAGTTAAATTATAAATGTGTTTTTTTAAATGCCACTATTGGTAGGATGTCCTAGTTGACGTCTACAGAACTGCTATAGTCAAAGATCAGTATATTGAAAATTAAAGCCTTGATGTTGGTAACACTTAAGCAGTTATGGAGCGTTATTTATATGAATTGACTTCAATGGGACTAATCATGTGCTTTTGGGGATAGGGTAAAAGATATTATCTCACCCACCTTCTCTCTCATTTTTTTTCTTGGTCACTTCAGAATATAATTGCACTTTAAAAAAAAAAAAAGGGCAAACAATCTCTAGAGTATATAACCTAATGTGAAAATTGCCTTATAGGCAAAGCTGCTGGGTGAACCTGGACCTGCTTCATATTCTTTCTAATGGTCAGAGATTATCTTGTTCTGTGTCTGATTTTTTTTTTTGTAAAGGCTCAGGAGGAGTTGGATGTAGAGTTCTACTTAGAAAAATGGTGAGTCTGATCATCTAAGTACACTGCTCAATGTAAATGTGCATTGTTAATGCATTATTTTAGAATGAAGTGTTGGTCTCCCACCTCTTACAATTCTTTGCATTATTTCTGAGGTATAAATGCCTTCAAGGCTATGGCGTCCTCAGCCTTAGGGCACTGGCACAGTGCTCTGGAATATTACTTTGCTGGAATCTTGTTGCTGTGGCATTGCAATAAGGGAAATCTTAGTATTGGAGTCTATCTGCCATTGCTGTGGTGAAGCTCATGTTGATGGAGTCTTAGCTTACAATGGAAGGTTACTGCAATAATCCCTGTAATACAATTAACACTACATCTGCCTATCCAGAATACCTTTTTTATGTTTGGTCTCTTTTCATTTGAAACCAGTCTCCCTTCTGGAAACTGAGGTGGGAATCTGCATGTGCGTGTCACAGCTGCACAAAGCCAGGAAGCAGTTTCTCCTTTTAATAGTAACATTTTTTCCATTGCCCTACGAAGGAAACGTTTACTGAGCTGCCATTCTCTGTCTGATTACAGATCGTGAGCACACAAGGTGCCTCTGAGCACTCAGTATGGAAAGGGAGGTGTGAGGGGCATCAAAAGGAGGGACCAATGGGAAATTAAAATCAAAACTCATTCATATTTACCCTTTACCTTCACAGCTCAGATGCCCCTACTGAGATCCTCACCAATGGTGTCCTTGTGGTGAGTGAATGGAGATAATTGGTTATTCATTAGAGAATTGTTACTTAATGCAGCTTTCAGTGGTTAAACAGGGGATGAGCACTTCAAAATTAGAGGGTCCCCAAAATCCATGCATCTCATTTCCTCTACTTCACGCATGTCCCTTCTTGCATTTGCTTATATAAAAATATTTAATCTGGATTTCTGGAAATTAGGGCACTGTCCTGTGATGGGGGTTATTTTTTCCAGTAGGTCAGATGGCTTCATAGCCAAGGAAGGATGCTGTTTCAAAACAATGCCTTTGGAGCGTCAGTGGATATTTTGTGGACCCCTCTATCCTCCAGTCCTTGACACTTACCTGTGCTCCTTTGTACTTTTGTAATGTGCAAATTCAGCATACATTCTTTCCAATCATTTCTTATTAGTGATAGTAAATGGGATAAATCATTGCAGCATTGGCTGCTGAATCTGAAATTTGAAGCCAGAGGGCCTGATCTCAGGCAATTTCTTTAAGTCTTCAGAGAAAATGGTAGTATGAAAATGGTATCTTATATAGTGAAGAATCCCAATCGCAGATGAGGGATGGAGGGAAGGACTGGTTAGCTAAAGAAATTAACAGGATAGGAGGATATGGAGTGGAGAGGATCCAAAAAACTTAGGCTGAAGCATTTTCTATTGGAGAATGTAATGCTGTGTGAAATCATGCTGATTTCACTGAAATTTCATCTTGAAGAAAAATTGGGTGTCAAGGTGTGGGGGGGAGAAAAGTTTTGATCAATCAGAAATGAAGGATTTGTAAGAATTTTCTTTCATGGAGAATTGTGAAATTTTTGGGTTTTGTCCGAAATCTCAAAATCCTTCCCAAAATGGAATTTCCATCCTCTGCACAGTTCTAATATGGAGCATTTTGCTTCTAGGTCACTGACTGTAATTCAGCCTAGGTAAATCATGTCTGAAAATAACTGTTGAGGCTGCCTAATAGCCTGTATGTGAACTGAATGGGTGGGAATCAATTCATTTCCTAGTGCAGTCATTCTCAAATCTTTTCATTCTATAGGCTGCTTCATAAGAGCATGGACCTATACCTCCTAGCATGTCAGTCTTCCATTTAAGCAACTGCTTGGTTCCATGTGTTAGGGAAGTATGATTCCCAGCTCACATAGACGTATCTGCACTCGCTGTGCTCAAGCTAGCATGCTAAGAATGGCAGTGTAGCCTGGGTAGCATGAGTGGTGGCTTGCCCTAGCCATTTCAGTTTGTACCCAGGTGGACTGGGCGGGTATGTGCTACCCTGGGTGAGCTGCTATTTCCAGCATGCAATTTTGAGCAGAACTAGAGTGGATACTTCTTCATGAGCAGGGAATCACACCTTCCAGCTCAAAGGTAGACATGTACCCTCTCTGTGGGGACCAGTAGAGTTGTGGAGGAATGTTGATGCTTTAATAAAATGTAATGAGCAAAGTTAACATCAGTGAAGTCCCTTGTCCCCAATCTCATCAGAGAAGCCAAGGACTAAATGGCGTGGGAAACCGACCTCCTCTCTCTCCACATGGTCACTCGAAGGCAGGGTTTTGAGACTACAGTGTAAGAGGTGTTTGCATAGGCAGAAATGGGGCAGTTTCTGTGAATTGTGGGATGGATGGCAAGCAATTTTTCCCTTCTGTGCAAAGCTGGCTGTTTGCTCAGCTTGTATTTCAGTTCCATTCTGATTTGGATCTAAATACAAATCAAGCCAGCTTTTAGTTTCCCTAAATTTTTGGAGGGGAAAGAGATTGAACATAAAGCACATTCTTAGTAAGTTTAAATAAAAAAATAGAAAAAAGTCTGTGTATCCTGACAGTCTGTAGCTGTGTAGAATAGGGTGTGAGGAAGTTATGGTGTAGGGAAGTGATGTTCAGTTCAAAAACAGCAACAATCCCTGTCCATTTGAAGGAACAAATCTGCCCCCCAAACCTTTGTTTTGCTACAGGATCAATGCTCTAAACCACTTCCTATTGTCACTGGATTATACTTCAGTGGGGAATTGAAGTGAATCTCCTAACCAGAGCTGTTTTGTTTTTCAAATAGGCTCATCCCTGCCTGTGTCTCCAAGGTGTAATCAACAAAGATGAGAAGTCAAAGCAGAGTGAAAAGGGTATGTCTGCTTGTATATTTCAAGGAAGAGCTACTCTATTGCTCGCTCTTTAGCACATCCATCCCATCCTGGAGGAAGTTTGGATCCTCACCTGAATTTTGCCTCTTGCCATCCAATTCTAAGGAGCTTTGCTTCACTTTCCATGTAACATGTTGTTTACTACTTTCTTTCAAGAAGTGGCTTTTTAATAAATCTGTTAATAAAAATGGAATGCTATTTCTTCTTTTCCATAAAGTGTCATATGAAAGAAAACTTGGGGGCTTTAGTTTTTGTCTCTGTAGTCTGGCTGTCATTTCTAATAGAATTCTCTAGTTTTCAGTGTGTGTTTCAGTGACTGTTCTGACCTAAATCTCTCATCCCTACTGTCAGGGAGCTGTCAGATCAAGCTATCAATGCCGGGGGCCTATGAGAAACAGTTGTGCATTCCTTGCACACTAGACAATGAACAAGATTTTGGGACCCCGTTTGTCTTTCATGTAGACAAAGAAATGTGTCCAGACCTGGAGGTGGAACTGGAGCAAACAATAACTGTCATACAGGTGAGCATCTGTGCTGACATCTACATAGCCTACCAACCACTTTTGGAACAAATCCATTCCGAAGCAAGGTGTCTCCTGGTCCATGAAATAGACTGAAGAGTAATTTGTACTGATTTATGGTTATGATCATCATGCCAGAAATTTCTTTAGAGGAAACCAATTTCTGGTTTGCCATTGTATAGTAGTCAGATACTGGTGTTGAAAGCAATTTTCTCATGGAGTACTGGCAATTACAGATGGGGATGGTAGTGCTGCCTATTATGACGGTTCCCTGACACTTCCCATTATAAGATCCTCTTTTCAGTAGCCTATACTTTGTCAGACTTTAATTGTTCAGTCTGAAATTTTCCATGCTGGGTATCAGTCTTAGGCTGGATTCTTTTAGAAAATTTCAGACAAAGCAGTTCAGCTGTTTCTGAGAACAAGGTAAGGGAAAAATATGTTTTTGCCCATGTTTAAAAAAAATTTAAAAAAATTCTTGAGACCTTTTCTTTGAACAGCTGTGGTGCTCCCGTGCTTTTCACAAGGGACATTAAATTTGGCAGTGGATGGTCTTTGTCTCAGGATGTGCCTTTTGCCATTTCTGTGAAAATCCACCTAAATTTGACCAAGTTATAGGCCTTTTAGAAATCAGAGTTTGCACGTGCTCTGAGACTTTTTTGATATTAAACAGCTAAAATCTCCAGAGATTCCATCCTCACTGAGCTTTGTTGAGCCTCTCACAGCTACTAATGCTGACCAGATTGCACATGCATCTTCCCCACCGTGTGACTGAGCATACTCCCTACAGCCCAAGGCTACAGGGGCAAAAATGGACTTATCCTGTGTGAAATGGCTGCTTTCAGTGAGTCTGGTCGCTGAAACTGAGCGCAAAGAAGCCTCTCTCCCTTATGCTCTCAGTGACTCCTTCCCTGCTGGCACCCTGGCAATGTGGAGGAGGAAGCCATCTGATTTGAATGCAGAGGGGATAAAAGTTGGAGCAGTGTGGAAGTGGGTGGGAAAGGAGTAGACCGGAACAACAAGTCTGGTGAGACTGGGCCTGGAATGGGTGAAGGAAAAAAGTGGGAGTGAATGAGACAGAGGTGGAATGGAAAAAAAAATAGTATGTGGTTGTGTAATTATTAAAGACTGTGTCACATGCAATAGAGGGCTGAATTAAAGTTGTATGAATGACCTTAACTTTTAAGTGCTTGAATGTCCAACCTTAATAAAGTTCTTGTAACGTTGTGGGTACGTACACCCGCCCCCCCCCAGCTCCACCCACCCACCCACCCACACTAGTGTGGTATAGAATAAAGATTTTTATCAGCATGAATTTAGTTGTGCAAATAAATGAATATCAAACCTTTATGCTATGCTATCATATATTGGGCATGTGATACGTGCTACAGAAAAACTATTTTACAATTTTTAAACACAAATATTTTTCTATTGGGATTGGTTTTTTGTATCCCTCCCTTGTAAAACAAGGTGCTTCCGTTATCATGAATCAAATTCTGTAGGAATTGAAGGAGCTTTGCTTTACTAACTATGTAAAAAATGAACCTCCCCAAAAGAATTAAAATAGCTTTTCTAGACAAAATGTCATGACTCTAGAGTCTGATATCAATGGACCTTCCAGGGCTAGAATGAAGTGCTATTTGAAACACGTCACAATATATTGGACTTTAAACCCGTTAGGAATGCAGCACTGCATATTGCCCATTACTGGCCTCAGACCAGGGCAACTCTTTTGGGGGGAAATTTCCCATTTGGGGGCAAGAGAAACATTTTTATGACAGGTTGATTTTTAAAAAGAGAGCAGTTAGATTTTTGAAGTAATTTAGAGGTTTGGAATGATGGAAATAGTCCCAAGAAAGAAGGCTTGATGGACAAAGAGCCTGTAAGGTGGTCAAAAGTACATTTTATCATAAGACCTTCTTCTGAAGAGTTGTAGTGAGTTGCAGTATGTGAATAACTCCACTTTGTGACAGTTCTGGTTCTAAATTTTCACAGGTGAAATTACTATTTTAATGAACACTATTTTTCTTTGACTGTAGAATTACTATTTCTCGTTACTAGGATGAAATAAGCTCTGATCTGGAAAAGCACACTACACTTCTGGGACAGGGAACTGTACCAGTTAAATCACTTCCTGTTGGACAGAAAGTAGACATGGCTGTTCCTTTAGGAGAGGTAACCCACTAATATTTTTGCGTGTATTTTAATACCCTTGGGAGAAAGGTTCCAACATTTAGAAGTAGGCATATTTAAAGTTTGGGACTAAAAGCCAGTGTTGCCATAACTGAAGACTTAATTGAACTCTTGACATCTACCAGGTTTTGCTGTAATTTTAAAAATTAACACCTCAAGAAGATGACATTTCTTGGAATGATGTCATAGAGTTAATCACTGCAGTCATTCTCAGATGTGCTGTTTTCAGGGCTGATTCCTACAAAATGAGCATCAGTGCCCATCAGTTTGCAGAAGCAAGGGAAAAATTAAATAGACTGTGAAAGAGAGGAAGGAAAAGCCAAAAGTGCACAAGAGGAATAATACTTGCACTCTTCCCCTGTCCTCCAACTTTATATAACTCCAGTGTAACAGCTTTTAAGAGAAGTCTATTTGCACTAAAACAGCCACAGGGAGAAAATAAGGTGTGCTGTGTATTTGCTTTTGCTGGTGGAAGTGCTTATCTTGCATAATATTTGATAATGGTGAAGGCATTCTCCATGCCCTGTTAGTAGGCTCACCTGTGAAACTACCTTTGGTTCAGGGATTTATTGTATTTTTCCAGGGACAAAGTTTGGACCTGAGTGTGAAGGCTGAAAAGAGGTGAGTCAGAGCCTCAGAGGTGAGTATGTTCCTTGCAGATCCTATGATGAGGAAATACTTTACTCTCACAGTGAATGATCTGAGTGACTGTGTTAACTGCTCCCGAAGCACATTCGTTTTAGTAGAGGCTTTCTTGGGTTTGAATGAAAAAATAAAATCTTGTTGGATATTTTTCTTCTGTTAACCAAATTCTATTTTGATTTTCACTGTGAAATTATTCTTTGCTGCACTGATATCAGGAAAGGGCCTGAAATCTGAACAATTTTTTCATAAATTCCAAGGGATTAGGCCTCAAAAATGAGCAGCTAAATGTGCAAACAGAAAGTGGCTGTTTTTGTATTTTATTATTACTACTAGTGTGCCCAAAATGTGCTGGGAGCTGTACAGACAAAGACGAAGATACAGCCCCTGGCACAAAGAGCTTTACAATCTAAAATAAAATGAAATAATAAAATAAAAAAAAATTGGGAAAGGATTAGCGCATAGAAGCAAAACAGATCAGGGTAAGGGGTAGATAGATTCATGTTTTGTTAGCTTATAATTTTAAAAAAATATAATAGAACTATCCCTAATTGCCTCTTAACATAGCATTTATTAGTTTCTGATCCAACCCTCGTCTACAAACCCATAGTAAGATGTTTTCTTCTCTTAAACCGACTAAAATCCTTTTAAAACTATCATCTTAATCCTGACACCTTCCTTCCCTGTACTTCTCACAGTGAATCCAGCCTTTCAACCTGCATCCTCCCCCTACTTCCCTCTGAAACTCTTCCCATCTGCTAAAGACATCCCTCTGCCCAGTTATCTGTTTCTTTAAACCAATCATAACTTTCATTATATTTGTATGAAACTATCAAATCCTGGTCTTTGGACACTGTAGGATTGAATTTACCACAAACTAAAATAGTGAGGATGAGTGAAGTTCACCTTTAACCAAAAAATGCTCTTCTGTTTTTTAACTGAATATTGGTTGTCATGTTTTGTGTTTGTTACAGTGATTTGACTGTAAACCTAGAATATTTGCTTAGAGAAGATTACCATACACCCTTTTTCAAGGGGTTTCAAACCCTTTAGATTTATGAAAACTCCTAATTTCTTTTTAACCCCTGTTTCTATAATCAGCACTTGGGATCTTGATGTACGCCTTGGTTTTGACCTCTGTGAAGAAGAGAGAGAATTTTTGAACAAGAGGAAGAAAATAGTTTCTCAAGCACTAATGAAGACACTTAAGTTAAGAGAAGCCCCTGGGAAAGATGAGGTATGAAGCACAGTGTTTAGAGATGGCTGTAGAGCCACTATGACTGGTAATCATTTAAACATTTAGGGCTCTTTGCAGGTAAACCATAGGACTTTCCTTCATTCACGGAACATTCACAGCATCACCTATGGTGAGTTTCTCTTTAGAGACCAAGAATTTTGAGTTCTAGATTTTGATATCTTTTCAGACTTTTTTGGTTTTTGTAGGTATTCCTTTTATGGAACAAAAAGTAATTTTAACAAAAACCAAAAAATTTTCCGAAAAGGTCGATGAAAATTTCTGGGGTTTGAGGTTCCAGAATTTCTTTGGATTCTCTCATCTAAAGCTACTGCATCATGTGCTGTCAGGATGTTAAAATAAAGCCAGCCTTTGGACCAAGCAAAGCTCATGGTTGTAAGGGAAGGGCAGAAGGAATGTCTGTGTACACAGGAATGTCTGTGTACACAGTGCCTGGTACAATAGTCCTGATCTCTGCTTGGGGTCTTAGGTACTAGTGCTACAGAAACGATTAAAGTATTTTTTGCTTACAACAGTGTACGTTTGATGTGCTATCGCAAGGCGTGTGATTAAATGACTAGCATTTGGGGAACATAATATACATCACACGTCTTTTCAGCAAATGGATGACTCTCTAGACAATACTACGATCTATATCACTAAAATATCAGTCATGATTAACTTTATACTGGAATTTAATCAGTATATTAACAGGAGTATAACTATTCCTGTGTTTTAAGGGTCTCATCCTTACATAAGTAAAGAGTAAATAAATATAAAATTAAACAGATCAAAAATTAACTCAGAATGTGTCATTCCCTGGTTTCTCGCCTCTCTGCAGGTCCCAGTGATAGCAGTTTTGGGATCTGGTGGTGGGACTAGAGCACTGACATCATTCTATGGCAGCCTGTCAGGGCTTCAGCAGCTCAGCCTTTTGGACAGCACAACGTATCTGTGTGGAATTTCAGGTTCTACTTGGTGCGTAATATGCAATGATGGTCCCTGAAACTTCTAGCTGGATAGGGTTTGTGTAGCTCCAAGTGAGATGCTAGATTTAATGCACATAATCTTTAAAAAACAGTAGGTCCAATATATTGCTATTGTCTATCAGATGTTGACAGTCATAATGTTCTGGGTGGTTAAAAAGAGTTTCATTACTATTTTTAATACCTACAGCAGTGGGTCTAGTAGAAGCTATATAATCGCATTACAGAAAGAAAACACTTTTTGGGGGAGATTTTCAAAAGCACAAAGAGGAAGTAGATGCCCAGCTACCATTGAGGTATTGTGAGGGCTGGATACTTAACTCCCATTTGCATCTTCAAAATTCACCCCCTTTATGGAAAAGTTATGGTAAATAACTTAATGTAAATAAATATGTACTGCTCCTCATCTAAAACTCTAGCTTATACATTTGTGTAGGGAGGTTTGCAAAGCCAGATTTTCTGCTGTGCAGAGGAGGAAGCCAGTTACCCTGGCTCTGTTTGAAACCCCATACAGTACCTAGCTCGCAGGGCTGTTGTGAGGGTGAGTTAGCTAATGTTCGTAAACTAATTAGCATTAGCTAATCTGCTCTCCAGAACAACCCTGAGTGGTAGATGAGCTGACAGAGTGATAACAATAAGGTTGGTCTCAGGTTCCCCAGCGTATTTTAGAACTTAACAAGCATTATGAGATGGAGTTTTAACTTTAGTATTTAGTCTTCTAGGTTGTCCGAGTTCTACAGTTCTCAGTTCAATACTGCAATAGTAACAATACTTAGCTGCAGTTTGATGTTTAATATCATTCACTGATCTTGATGTAAATGTTTTTCAGGTGTTTGTCTGCACTGTATCAAGACACAGACTGGTCCTCTAAGGACCTCCAAGGTGCAATCAGCAATGCCAGGGATAATGTATCTAGTAGCAAAGCAGGGGCACTTTCGTCAGAACGATTGAAATATTACTTCCAGGAGCTGAACTCAATGGAGAATGATGGACGGAAAGTCTCTTTCATAGACTTGTGGGGCCTTATTATAGAGTATTTTCTATATCAGAAGGTAAAGAATTCTAGACTCTGAAGTGTATTGCTGTTTGCCTTCAAATTAGGACCTCAACATATCCACCTTTTTGTGCTCTGGAAAATGATTTCTCTTTGTGTATGCATAAATTGTATAGCAGGGGTAGGCAACTTATGGCACGTGTGCCGAAGGCAGCACGCGAGCTGATTTTCAGTAGCACTCACACTGCCCGGGTCCTGGTCACCGGTCCGGGGGGCTCTGCATTTTAATTTAATTTTAAATGAAGCTTCTTAAACGTTTTAAAAACCTTATTTACTTTACATACAACAATAGTTTAGTTTATATATTATAGACTTATAGAAAGAGACCTTCTAAAAATGTTAAAATGTATTACTGGCACGCGAAACCTTAGAGTGAATAAATGAAGACTCGGCACACTACCTCTGAAAGGTTGCTGACCCCTGTTGTATAGAATTGTTCTTGGGATTAGAGGAGTCTTGGGAGAAACTTGGGAGTTTTTTGCCTCAGTTTTTCTATCTATAAAATGGGGATAATGATATTTACCTAATGTATAAAGCACTTTGAGATCTATAGATGAAAAATGCTATGTAAGAGCTAGGTATTTATTTGAAATTACTTCGCAAGCCATTCATTTGACAGCCATTTAGAATGTTAAGGCTCAGAAAATATGGTGGCGTATGTCTAGCAATATGGTTTTTCAAAAACAGAATGTAAAGTGATACAGTTAGATGAAATCACAAATTGGAATCTGATTAAAACAGCAATTAACTAGTGAAGAATGCCTGTAAAATTCAAAATATCTAGGCCATGTAAATATTCTAGTAAAATATAATGAGCCCTACACTGGGGAGAGAGGAGCTTCAGAGCCTGTGATGTGGTTATAGCTGAGGTTGGAAAGTGAGAGAGCTCCAGAATATTGGAGCATGGTGGCGAGATGGCTTTAGCATAGCACCAAAAATATTAAGCTTTTTTTCTTTCCCTGTTATAACCAGAAAGACTTGTCAAAGCTGTCTGACCAACAGGAAGCAGTGAAGAGGGCACAGAACCCCTATCCCATCTATGCAGCAATCAATGTGAGGCCCAATATTAGCGATGAAGACTTTGCAGGTATAAATGAGACAGGTTTATTTTTCTATTTTAAAATTTGTAAATAACTCCCTCCCACTGAGACTTAATCCCCTTTGCAGCTCCACCATTCCCTGAAGCTTGGATAATGAGCATGAGACATGAGGTGCTGATTAGCCAGTATTTGGGAGCCCAATAGCTAATATGTCAAACTGAACACTGCTTGGCAAAGTTCACCTTCACCTATGTTCTCCTCATAGCTATATCACTGAAGATCCAGTTCTGAGGGAATTCTGCACCAAAAAAATAAAAAATTATGCGCACAATATTTTAAAATTCTGCAAATTTTATTTGTCAAATAAATGTGACTCCTGCATGGCAGTGGGGAGCACAGGCCACTGGCTGCACTGAGGTGGGAGATCACCCTGAAGCCCCCAGATCCCCCAGTACAGGGACTCAGCAGTGAGGCTGCACCTGACCCTGACACAGTGCAAGAGCTGGGCCTGCCCCTCTGTGCCAGGCCCACCAGGTGTGGGTAGGCAGGCTCAGCCCAGCAGGATCCAAGTGTGGAGGGGCTTAGTGTGGGGGAATCCAGGTGTGGGGTGAGAGGTTTCTGTGTGGGGCAATTTGGGTGTGGGCAGCTCAGTGGGAGATCTGGATGCACAGGGGCTCATTGGGGCAGGGGCAGTGGGACTCTGCAGGGAATCCAGATGATGGTCGTTGGGCTCAGCGTGGGAGGGGAGCTCTGGGTGTGGGGAGATGTGCCTTGGCAGGGGTCTGTGTGTGTGTGTGTGTGGTGGGGTGGGGGTTCGGGTGCTGGGGGACTGGGGCTTGATGGGATGAGCGTCCAGGTGTAGCTGGTTGGGGCTCAGTGGTGTGGGGGTCTGGTTGTGAGGGGTTGTCAGAAGGGTCCAGGTGTAGGGGGTAGGGCTTGTCAGGGTGAGGGTTTGATGGGCCTGCTTAACGGGGGAGCCCCAGCTGCTTCTGAGGGGATGCCGCATGCTGGGCTCTCGCTTTCTCCTGTGATTCCCCATCCCTCCCCTTTTTCTTCTCTATCCCCCTCCGCTCAGTCCCACATTCCCCTCCCCCACCCTATTCCACTCCCTTCCTTCCCCACTGCCTCTTCCCCCCCAACCCCTTCTCCCCCCACTTCCCTCACTCCCCCCACCCCCACTTACCCAGCCCCACCGCAAGCACTCACTGTTGCACAGAAGACAGGAAGGCTCCCAGCACACAGAAGGGGAGCACAACTGGCACTAGGACCCAGGAGGCTGCGTTCAGCTGCCGAGTCAGCGGAGCTGGAGATGCAGCCTCCGAGCTGAGCAGCTTTGCGTTTGCAGAAATGAGGGGGAGGCACTGGCACGTAACCCTGTGTGCCCCCCCGCATGCCTCGCCTCTGTCTGGGGGGCAGCATGGGAGAAAGCACAAAAGTGCCTGTTAGAAAATTGAACGAGTGGGTGATGAAGGCTGGTATTGGCTGAGTGGAGAGGCAGGCATCATCTTGATACTGTATGAGCAGGGGCAGCTCTAGCTTTTTTGCTGTCCCAAGCATGGCAGGTAGGCTGCCTTTGGCGGGTGCCTGTGGGAGGTCCGCCGGTCCCGTGGATTTGGTGTACCTGCCGCCGAATTGCAGCCGAATCCGCGGGACCGGTGGCCCTCCCTCAGGCATGCCGCCGAAGGCTGCCTGATTGGTGCCCTTACAGGCGCCCCCCGCGGCTTGCTGCCTCAGGCACGCTCTTGGAGCGCTGGTGCCTGGAGCTGCCACTGTGTATGAGAGATGACAGGTAGCAGGGAGGTATGTTGAGAAGGGTCTTGAATGTGAAGATGAGTCGTTTATGTGAATGGGGTTGAGAGATGCAAAGAGAGGAGTGACATGGTCAAAGCAATGGGCTAGGGAAATAATTTTTGCAGCAGCATTCTGAATTGACATGAGTGGGGCAAGATGGGATTTGTGAAGGCCAGAGGAAAGGATGATGTGGTATCTGAGATGCAAGGTGAGGAGCACGTGGAGGAGAGTTTTAGCTGATGGTAGATAGGAAAGGCTGTGTTGTAGAGATGTTATGCAGAAAGAATTGGCAAGAGTTAAACATAGTCTAGATATGGGAATCTAGAGAGAGCAATATTTCTGCCATGAGCAATACTCATTGCACTGTTCTGAGCTATCTTGACAAGATTGCTTCTGTAAACTTACTTGTTTCTGTGGGAAATAATGTGGCCTAGTGGATCTCTTGACTGGGACTCAGGAACCTGGCCTCTTTTCCCATCTCTGCTACTAGATTGCTGGGTGACTTTGGGCAGGTACTTCACCTCTTTATGTTTCGGTTTCCTCAGCTGTAAAATAAGCACAACAAGATCTACTGATGAAAGGTGTTGAAGAACCGAGTATATTTGTTAATGTTGTTAATGGGTTAAATGGAGGATTTTAGTGATAAAATGGCAATGCGGTTTGGGTAGCTGGCCCAAATAGATCTCAGAAAGGTTAGGTTTTGGAAATATAAATATGTATTTATGGTTTGAACTCTGTCATAAGGTCACTTTCAATAATATTTTAGGCAGATACCTCTGTTAAGTTCTGGCAAGGCTTAATAACACTCTGTGCTATTGTTTTTAAATAGCTGTATGCTATTTCATAACTTAATGACACCAAAAAGAAATATTTAAAAATTGCTGCTCAGAAAAATCAATCTCAAAAATGTGGAATTGCTGGTGAGCTTCAACTAATGTTTTCATCGTTGAACGATGTGACAGAGTGGGAGTAGCCTAGGGCTGGCTCACCATGTTGTAAGGTTTCCATCATGGACCAAATAGGGAGAGATTTGATTAGGACTGGGTGGTTAACCAGTTAACAAGGGGATTCAGCATGTTAGCTGGGAACTGTTAAATGGGAGAAAGGAGGGGAAGGCTGGAAGGATGGGTAAAGAAGCTCAGGATCTCAGAGAGGTGAGACTTCTTCCCCCTTCTCCTCCCTTTCCTGTGCCACAGGGGTGCTTTGAAACTGTCCCTTATGGTGATGGGACATGAAGCTGCATAAGATGTTGTAAATAAAGTACACTGTGGTGAACTTGCATAAGAGTGTGAGAGGGCTGCTTGCAAAGAGAAATCCAGGGTGAGGGAGCCCATTCTGTGACAAACATCTAGACAGTCAAGTTGCTCTCATTGCCATAATTGTGAGATATAGTGAGAAATCCTAAATTGTGGTATAGCTAAGGAGCTCTCATCTGAGAGGGTTACCCTTCCCCAGTTCTAGATGTTAAATCCTTTTTCTCTTCCCCTCCATACCCAAACATGTGCTAATGCTGAGCTTGGTGCAGGGACTATTCATGGGGACTAAGCTAAGGAATTCATGAACCCAGGCCATAGAGCAGAAGTGGAGGAGCTCTTTGGTGGCTGCTGCTGCCCTGAAACAGCAATCATTCCTGCTGCTCTTGTGCCCCTACTCTGCAAGGGACAATGGCTGGTGGATCTGCATACCAGTGGTTTGATTAGTCCCCCAAACCTTGCTGCACAGGGAGTTCCTACAGAGCCTCTCTGGAAGATCCAACTATCTGTTCCCCCAAGACAGCCACACTAGTTCTACTATATATGGGGTTTTATGGGGAAGGAATTGCTGATAGGTGATCCTGGAAGAAGCAGAGACTCTTCTTTAACCACTCCTATAAGAATAGGATAATGAGACTGCGCATCAGTGTTCCTGAGATAACTGTTGATCTGCTGTCTTACTCTCAGAGTGGTGTGAGTTCACTCCCTATGAGGTTGGATTCCGCAAGTATGGAGCCTTTGTCCGAACAGAAGACTTTGACAGTGAGTTCTTCATGGGGCGGCTGATCCGGAAACGTCCAGAGCCCAGGATCTGCTATCTGCAGGGTATGCTCTAATGCAGCTGGCTTTGAAAGGGAAATAGGAAAGCTTCATCTAGTGTCAGAACCTGCTCATGCCTCAGTTTCCCCCTTGCTCAGTTAAACAAACCACCATAACTGGTGCTCTTGAAGTACTCACCCCTTCTTGGGATCTGACTTATTAATATAAAATAACAGTTTAACTCAAAAGTAGAATCTCTCAGCTTTTTTTCTCAAGCCTTAGCAGTCCATTATGCCCTCATGGGTTCCTAATACTCTTGTTGAGGTATTGCTCCTGATAAGGGTTGCGAACTTTCTAATTGCACAAAACTGAACACCCCATGCCCTGCCCCCACTCGCTCTATTCCCCCCTCCCTCCGTTGTTTGCTCTCCCCTATCCTCACTCACTTTCACTGGGGTTCGGGTGCAGGAGAGGGATGAGGGTTCTGGCTGGGGGTGCAGACTATGGGTGGGGCCAGAAATGAGAAGTCCAGGGTGCAGGAGAGGGCTTTGGTCTGGGGCAAGGGGTTGGAGTGCTGGGATTTGAGGACTCTGGCTGGGGGGTGCAGGATCTGGGGCGGGGCTGGGGCCAAGGGGTTTGGAGTGCAGGGGGGAGGGGAGGTGCAGGTTCCAGATGAGGGTGTGGGCTCTGGGGTGGCACCAGGGATGAGGTGTTTGGGGTGAAGGAGGAGGCTCTGGGCTGGGGCAGGGGGTTGGGGAGTGTGTGTGGGGGTGCAGGCCCTGCCTGGGGGTGTGAGTAGTGGGGAGGGGCTGTGGATGAGGGGTTTGGGATGCAGGAGGAGGCTAAGGGCAGGGGATTGGAGTGTGAGGTGCGGGCTCTAGGAGGAATTTGAGTGTGGGAGGGGACTCTCGGCTGGGGCAGGGGGTTGGGGTGCGGGGTCCTGGTGGTGCTTACTGCAGCTCCCAGGAAGCGGACGCCAGGTTCCTGCGGCCCTAGGCGCATGGGTGGCCAGGGAGGCTCAGCTTGCTGCCCTCACACTCACAGGCGCCACCCCCACAGCTCCCATTGGTTGCGGTTCCTGACCAATGGGAGCTGCGGAGCCGGCACTCAGGGCAGAGGCAGCGCGTGGAGCTTCCCTGGCCACCCATGCACCTAGGGCCGCAGGGACCTGGCAGCCTCTTCCGGGAGCTGTTTGGAGCTAGGGCAAGCCCCTGCTGCACCGCCGACCGGACTTTTAATGGCCCTTTTCAACCGGGCATTCCTGTCGAAAACCAGATGCCTGGCAACCCTACTCCTGCTCCAGCTAGGCCTTTCCCTCTGGCTCACAGGGAGAGTGTCTTCCCCACTGAACTCAGACCAGGGTCTCCTCTGGTCCCCTGCATGTGACTTCCTGTTCCCTGCAAGGTTCTCTCCTCTTACCCTTCTGTCATGGCTTCAGGTCTCTCTCGGCACGTATTGTAATAACTGAGCCAACAAACTTACACTAATTGTGAACTCATCTGTGAGAAAGCAGATAAAAGTTTATGAAATGTTCCAATCACATACAACAATCCGTGTTGATGGGAAAGGTGTAAAAGGGAGACTGGCTGTGACTGATTTAGTCCAAACAAAAAGGCCTCCTAATGTAACTCCAAGGCTGTGTTAAGATCATGTCTAGTAGATGAGAAATGTGGGCCTGGAAATCAATGAACCAAAATGAGTGTGTTGGAAATTCGGCCTAATTGGTGGACAATAACTGAAAGGATGGGCTATCCTGCCCTTCTCTTCCTTTTGGGGTTCTGTAGCGGGGTGGATACCCGCTCCTGCTGTGTGGAATTTGTAGGGTTACCATATTTTGTGCCTCCGAAAGGAGGACACTCCACAGGGCCCCGGCCCCGCCCCCAGCCCCGCCCATGCCCCCGCCCCAACCTCCGCCCCTTCCCCAAACGTCTCCGCCCCCTCCCCTGCTTCCCACGAACATTTGATTCGCGGGAAGCCTGAAGCAGGTAAGGAGGGTGTGCGGGGAGGAGGCGCGGCCCAGGCTGGCCCCCCCCGGCATTTCCAGCCTGGGTCGGCTCGGGCCCTGGGGGTGCCGGCCCCGGGACCGGCCCCGGCCCGCCGGCGCACCGCCGGCCCCGG